ATATTCTCCTGATTTGGAAACTCACCAATTAAGTGCCTGGGTGCTAAGACCGTTTACAGTAGCTGAAGGGATATTTCCAGATACTGAATTCGAAATTAAGGTACAATTCCTAGGAATGCGCGAGGACAGCGTATTGAAGGTAGATTTCCAAAGCACGCAACTAGTAACATTTTTGGCAAAGATCGGTGATGAGTATCCATTACTGTCGGAAAGTGCATTGAGAATATTGATCCCATTTGCAACAACTTATAAATGTGAAAGTGCATTTTCGACAATGATGGTAATGAAAACAAAAGCAAGGAATTGAATGAACTTGGAGCACGACTTGCCATGTGCATTGGCCGAAACTGCACAAAATATACCAGAAATTGTTACCACCAAACAATGCCAACCGTCTCCTTGATGTATATCGCCTCTTGTTTGCATGGAATTTTGAATTAAAAGTACTGTTTTCTTTCGTTTATTTGTCGAGGGAGATTCCGGATACCGATCACTTCTCGTACTTAAGTCGGATAATTATGTAGTGAGAAGGGGTGTTTCCTTCAATTGCATGAGCACGTGAAACTACATATGACCTTTGTTTTTGAACTTTAGAGCGAAATGTGCAATAGTTATTACGTAGTAGTCTTTCGAAAGTTTGGGGGTAAAAGTCTGGTGGGCAACCCCCTTTGTGGGTAACGGCGTCCAAAAGGTTGTGAACCACTGCTGTAGGCCCTACTCGTGTCGCGGCGTTCATCCGTCGCTACTGATAGTTTTCGTATGGACTCCTAGCCTAGTGGTAACGAGCTTGTCTCATGATCTTTCGGAGCCGGTTCGAATCCGCGTAGGGGTGGGCGCCCTCACGGTATGCTCAGCTCGCGTGCAACTGGTGGTGGTCGCACAGCAGCGAAGCGTCGTTACGGCGTACAGCTGACACTATTGTTATTTAATAGTTTTCATAGGCACACGGTGAGTGTGAAAGCTGTGTGGGAAATAAATTATGTAAAAGTTGTTTTACTGATTCATCCCAGCAGCTCAAAAACCAGATAGTATAGTCACCAATTCGGTAATAAACTGTACGGCAGTAGATAATTAGAGCTTGAGCATTATGACTGTCCGCCGTCGCCCTCGATTTTTCAATAGTATAAACTGTTGTCTAGTGACACAAACTGTTAGCGGTCATGGTTTTGGTTTTCTGTCGGGGACCTAACAAAACTGATGCATTAACGAGCCCCAATAGGGTGAAACGGCTGTCTGATGCCAGAGTAGCTGGCCTGAATTGCGGATGGAACTGTAAAATTTCCTCAGAAATCCTCCTACTCATAAGTAGATAAAACAATATCATGTTCTCAAATACGTCGGTGCACTCGTGTTATCACAAGCTTTGTGCTTCATTGGGCTACAGGAGAAAAAGTGGATGTGGTAGATGTGGAATGACTTTTCGAATCAGGTGATTTCTGGCCCTTCCTCATATAACGTGGTTGTGCTCACGCCTATATTGAGTTTATCTTACTTCACAGGCTGTCAAATGTTTGTTTACTAGACCGCAGAAAGCTCCCATTGAATCGCAATTTCTCAAAGCTTGCGGATGCTTGTTCCACACAGCTGCGTAGCGATTAAGAAGGAAGCTTGCTGTTAAGCTAGTTCGTGTTTTTTCGTCTCGTTTGGTAACGTCTTGCATCTGTTCCTCATACTGTTCTTAAGGGAGGATTGAAGTACAACTCGTTAGTTGCTAGCTCTTCCTCTGTCCAAAGCTCTCGGAATCAGTCAGTCTGGTGGTTTCAGGTCCTGTACGATATGAGGCAGTAGGAAAACAAACGCTTGCCAACACTTTTATCTTTGTCCTTCAATGTTTACTCGGTATTACTCCTTGTCTCCCCGGTAATTTAAGTCATACCAAATGGGTCCACTGCAATCTGTTGACAGTCTTGTTCAACTAAGCGGAATTCCCCGTTACATTGTCAGCTGTTTGGTGTATACACTGAATCGCAAAGGCGAGACCTCTTACGGGTTGTTATCGATGCTATCCAGTGTTGATTTTACAGTTGATGACCGCTAATTTTCAGTGCACTCATGCGCATAGGACCGTTTAGCTTCTTGCCGCTAGAGCTGATAATGGTAAAGCTAAAGATGCTATTGGTTCACGATCATAACAAACCAACTGATCGTTGTGGACTAGTTCCGTTGGGAGTATATAAACTTCAAGTTGAGAACACTAATGGGCTGAGTAAAATTTCTTTAAAAATTATCTTGCACATTAATCATGGAAATCCACTCTAATAACCTTTAAACGCTATGCGACCCACTTGCAGCTTTATGAAGCCATTGTCTTTATCGCCTATCATCTCACCTGCCGTAACTGACCTATTCAACAGGTCTGGTCATTGCCGATTTATTGACACTGCTCGGTGGTAAGGCCGATTCCGAAAAGCGGTGACCCCAGCAATGTAGACAACTGCAGGCCAATTTGTTTGACACCTATTTTGGCCAAGGTTGCAGAGCACATTATGAAGAAGAGTTTGCTACAGTTGTTCCGATCAGAAAACCTACTAGCGCACACAGCACAGTTTCATGCCAGGTGGTTCATGCATCATCAACCTGATCGAGACGAGGTATAAATAGTTGCATCAGTGCACCAGGAGAGTCTGTCGATGTGATCTACATCGCTTTCAGCAAAGTGTTCGATAAAGTTAACCGTTCGATCATCCTCCCCAAGCTGAGAGTTTGTGGTGTTGGTGGAACTCTGCACCAGTTATCCAGAACTTACTCGTTGGACGAAAGTGGAGAGTACAAGTCGATAGCCACCTGACCGATTGGTGTCCTTCGGCCAGTGCCGTACCCCAAAGCACGGTGCTGGGGTCTACATTGTTCCTGATTTCTATCAACTGCACACATCAGCTTCTTCCGTCGTTGTGTGCTCTGTTTACAAATGGCCTAGATGTGGTGAGTGATAATCACATCCGACCTCATCCGCTTTATTATGTGATCTGCAGAAGTACACCTCCCGGTCAACCCATCCTAGTCGGTATTCATGAGCTTGGGGAGGGGTGGTGACGGCCGAACCCGCACTCTCGACGGCCAACTGATACATCCCACACCTGTGCAGGACCTAGGTGTAGTCCCGCTGGGTGATTTGAAGTCTTTTGACAACACGAACAGCGCTCAAACGCATTTTCTGCATCGGTTCTGAAGAGGTTACCACTTACCTCTTGCCCTCCATCATCAGACCGATGCTAGAGTACGGCTCGCCCGCCTATTGCCCCACCACTCGCGGCGAAGTGCAGTAGGTTGAAGGAGTTCAATACGTCGCAACAGGCTCACCCCATTTTTCGAGACTTACTGTTCGAGGACAGGTACGCGACCCTGGAACTGTACGTCTGAGCCTATCCTCGGTTGCGAGCCGACCTCATCATGATCTAGCGACTTACATGTAGGCGCCTTCCCCATACTGAGTTCATTGCTCCACTTGCGAACGCCTTGCAGTACACTCAGACACTAGTACAAGGTTGTGGTTCCAAATCTGAAACTTCTCCCATCCCCTGTGCTTGGAACGGCCATTAGTGAATGTCTGGAACGGTTCGCCGGAACATATAGTGGGAGTGAATTCCGTGCATCAGTTCAAACGATCGTTGGATGTGCATTTCTCAACTGTTAGATTCCGAGAACGATTACCTACATACATCTCACGTTTTTGAGTCCCAACCTACTGAGTTAAACACTTTTTCAACGATAACACATGAGAATGTGAAAAATGATCAGTGTATTGGCAAGCCATAGTTTGCTTCCCTAACCTACTTGAGCATATTTTGTTGAAGTTGTACAGATTTAAATTTCTACTTGCCTCCACAGTGCAGTATTCAGGTTATGGTCTATATGTCACTGAAGGATGGGTCTCGCTAGCTCGTACCCATAATGCTTGTCAGCCCTCACTCGTGGTCTAACGGCATAGGGTGCTGGCTAGCGGCACAAGTCGCTAGTGTCGAGAGTTCGCGGACTCGGTTCCTGATGGAACCGGGGCATATGCACCACTGACGATTCCCCATAGAGCAAAACAGCTGTCTGTTGCTTCTCCAGATCTCAAATGCACCCTCTGACTTGCAAACTGCTGTAATAAACTCAACACGTTGTGAAACCAATCTACTAATTGGCTCCTTCAATCACCGGATTTCATTGTTCCATCAAAAACAGGCGCCAATTAGTTGGTCATAGCTACAAACTTGTAAGAACCATAATAGAGTCCCTAGCTTTTGATGAAGAACAGCTGCGATTCACTGTACATGCTTATTTAGCAAAAAGTGTGTTCCTTTACTTTTAACCTTCTACCATTATGATCAGTCATTGATTAAGCTATCCGCCGCTGATGTTGCCGGGGAAACTCGTTTTCTCTGGGGACCGCTTCCGCGTCTAAATATTATTAAATGAGGTCTCACTTTTGATTTACTGTACGTAAATGGGTGTTGTTTGCTACGGTCACTCTTGTCTCAGTCAAGTTCGCAGCTTCCATTTGTGCGTTCTGAATATGCGGTGCTTTGTTTTCTAGCTATTTACCTCGTGTGCTACCGTTCGCTCGCGCTTTTGACCAGCCTATTTAAACTCCCCTCTTTTCGACATTACCGGCTCTTGGAGGATTCACTCACACATGTTATAGGGCAATTAGTGCTAAGACACTCATTTGGACCGTCGAGGAATGTACCATTTTGAATGAAAATTGAAAATGAAAATGTACCATTTTATTTATTTATTTACTATAGTGGCTATCCGATTGAGCTTTATTTACGTTTGTTCATTCCGATTGGCATCATTTCGGCAACACAGGATTCAACTCAGTCGCAGTAAGGTGTTGATACCCCTCAAGTTGGAGTCTACATTGTATGTTCATACGCTGGGTTGAACAGCGACACATTTGTAAGACCATCTTTGCGGAATCCACTGCGACTCCCCTTACCGATCTCCCACCCGTATACCCTGACTTGTTATATGTATACATATATTCATTTATTCTTTCTTCGATTCTACCCTAGTTTTATGGCGGTGGTGTGATCAGCGCGTTCGGTTGTATGCCTGATGTGGAGTGTACCGATTGTGTCGCTGCTGGTGCTGCTCTCTGCCGCGGCTGTCAAAACACTGCTTCCTCTCCTCGATGTCCTTTTCACACCCGACTGTTACCTATCTACTTGGACCTACCCAACCCACTCTCTCCAAAGTCAACAGGTTATGATCGATCTCGCAAACGCCGCAAACGTTCCGCCTGTCCTGCTGACCTACTTCCAGCCTGTTTCGCACCGCAGACTTCTGGGATACCAGGTCGTCAGTGCTCCTGTTTCGCCCAAACCAAAACGCCTATTTCCCTCATCCAAATTTCCGTGTGCAACATCACTGGTAGTGTACGGATCGCTTGGCCGAGTCCGGATGCACAAGTGAAAGTGCTTACATGCTCTTTTGAATCGACAAATCACAGAGACGGCGGCCGCTCTCATCAGCTTCATTTACTGCCCGAGGTTTGTTTCCTGGATGTCACTGATACGTCGTCCATACTTGTAATGTGTCGCTTGATTTTATTTGCCATACAGGGTCGTTTGGAGATAACTTTTCTCCCTTGCACATGATTGATGTTGCTACGGCACTTACTTGTTGTCGACCACTTCGAAGACACCAACAGCTAGGCCGCTGGAGGCGGGAATGAGTTTTTGGGTATATTCGTCACAGCTAGACTCAGTCATACAGCCAGCACACATCCAGGAAAGCACTGAATGGCCGTTTCGTCCTATTGGGACTCGTCAGTAACGCGCGCCCACCGAGTACTGCCGAAACCGAAGCCATAACCTTACTTTTACGAGACTGTGGTTTATGCCATCGAATCATGGGTAACGGCAACGGACCGCCATGGCGGTTACCTAACTGCGATGCTGCGCTGCACATCCTACACTATCTTGCATGTTATGAACGTGCACAGGATAGGGCTGACCCTCAGAGCAACGACTTCCTTTACGAGTTGCCATCAGTCGAGGTGGACTCTAAGCTGCCATGATGATTACTGATTACTAGTGAGTAGTAGGCGGTTTGTTTAGTTTTTATGCAGCTTCATCGCAGCTAGACTCAGGCAGCTAACGCTTCCCTGGATGTTTGGTGGCTGTTTGCCTGAGTCTAGCTGCGATGAATCTACACAAATATCAATAAATCCCCTACTACTCACTAAGGACATACAGCAGGTGTGAGCAGATCGACTGATAATATAGTGGGAGTAGATATGCATCTGCATTACTCCATAGAAATATCATTGAGCACACACGCTGAATGTTTCCATTTGCTACTGTGCATTATTTTTAGTCTATTCAAGTGCGATACGCTCTCGAAATCTGCAATCTACAAAGTGGGTGTTTGTAGGACTTGTTTGAATTCGGACACCGATTTGACCGCAACTGTTGTCTCGGACAAGCTCACTAAATATTTCGCCACTGAACGCTCGAAATGTGCTGGATGAACTGTACGCTAAAAATCTATTTTCATCAGTATACAGATTAGCTAGAGGTGAGAAATATCTCATCCATTGTAAAATTCAACTGGACGTTAGTAAGCAAAAATAAGTGTCAGAGGAAACGAAACACAATAATATTATGCTACGTTTCATATTGTATATCGACACTGAGATCGTTGTTAGGGGAGAGGAGGCTGGGCTGGATGGGAAGGAATAAACAAACTCACAACATAAGCATCATTGGCCATGTCAACAAGTGTCTCCAACCCAGTGCCCATCGTCTTTTGGATCTCAAACAAGGAGTCGGTAGGCACTAACCGAGGCCAGCTTCGAAGTGAGAGCCTTCATTCTCCTTGACTAATTGACTGGTTAGTTTCCCTCCTTCCATCCAAATACAAGTCGCACCAAAGCGCACGTCTCTGGAGTCGATGTGCTAGCATGCGTGAAGTAACTACGCTGAGCCGTTCACTTACTGTTCTTGCGCCATAATCAAGGCGGCGAACACGCTTATTGCTCCCACGGCGTTTACATCAGATGTGCGACAAGCTGCGAAACCACCCATGGTTGAACACAATTGGCCGCTTTATATCTGCCGATCTGATGGGTCAGGTTTCACAACTGTACAGTAATGTAGGCTCTACCTTTCCGAGCAGGGGCGCTGTAGCGCCGGTACCACCCGATAACAAGAGCATCTGGGGCTTTTTCTATACAGTTTGTGACCTCGTCTTCTGTTCGCCAGGCAGTGTTATAGCTACCCAGATGGTTGCGATTTTGCATGACGTCTAGCTAAATCCCGCCAAGATTCAGCGCAAGAGCCGGAAACGTTTGACAGCCATTGTTTAGTTGTGCAGTGTTTCTTGGCACATTTGTGAGCTGCCACAATGCTTGATCGCTGTACGTAGGAATATAAAACCCTTTCATCCGTGCCCGTTACTGTTACAATAACTAACCCTACCAATTGACCCCATAATCGCTGTACTCATTGCTTACGCGATATATTTTGCGTCCATGATGTAATGTATCCGCCATCCACTTACTTCTCCTTCTTTAGTATGGTGTAACTTTGCTGTAGACCTTTACCTTCTTCTCTTCTTACCTTTTTTTGGGCTCCGCGCGATTCACCACAGCGTCTTCCGACGCATTTTCTATCTTCCCCCATCCAAGCCAAATTTTGGTGTGTGCGTGGCACCGAGTTATCTGGAACAGAAAGTAGCGAACAAGCTTGTTTTCAGAGCTTCATCATCAGGCTAATACAACCACAATAAAGCAAGGTAGAATAGACACAATGGGTTTCAATTGGGTCATTGAAGCAGAGTAACTGGTCGATAAGTCTACGTGATTGGTCTGCTTGAGGCGAAGCCAGGTGAAGTGGCCTGACTGCCATTGTTAGTCGCGTTAGTCTGAGGCCAAGGCAGGGTTCGAGTATGGACGAGCTTTTTCTGTGCACATAGGTCCGGGTTATAGAGCCGAATTGCGATCGCTAGCTAGGGCGATTTTTGCTAGACCAAAACAAAGTTGTCCAAGAATTAACTAACCAGTTAATGCCATGATGGCATTTTTTTCTTTTATTGATCCACTTTTTGAATTTCATTTACATCGTGCTGTATTGCTTAACTCGTGTGTGTGTCTGTTTCAGCTGAATAATATTCACCAGATCCGAGTGCATAAAGCACTTTATTGACTTGTCTTGAACCATAGAGTTTCATCGAACCAGGCCAGTTTCGGTAATTAACACATGGTTAGAAAGTCGGGATGTACTTGAAGAGCTGGACCTACCAACCGATGTGCACCTATCGTTGGTAATACGCAATCTAGCAAAGAATCATAGAGTGCTTTTCAGACATCAACTGACACACCTCGACATTTGTCGCTCCGCGCTTTGAAGGCACTACGATGGGTGTAGACACTGGGCATTAACAGATGGGTCCCACGGACGAACTTGATGGGCCCGGTCATTGAGAACACAAGGCATGGTCGTCCTTCGACTCTGTTCGGATGCGCGGTACTTTCCCCCGTTTCTTGTTTAACTAAATCAACCTCATCAACCCGAAAACGTCGTTATTTATGGGAGTAGCCGAACAGCAAATATTGACGCGCTTTAAGGATCGAACCCGCCCCTTTGTTTTGTTTGCCTACCTTTACCAAATAAATCGCCTACCACTGATGCACTGACGTTTGCAACATCCAATAGTGGTTAAAGATGAACACCTCTATCCATTTTATGCACATTGATTTGTGCACCTTCACTGGGTGCGGTGCATCTTTGGGTATGCTGATCTCAGCTGCTGCCGCAATGTCTCAATGTCCCCACGGGTGATTCAGATCTTAAAGCGCCATATTTTCTTCACTTATACAATCAGTGTTTCCGGGGATTTTCTTGTCGTAAACTATACAACGTGTTCTTCTTTTCACTAACCTGCCTGTCAGTTCCGCTAGCTGTACGACTACTAAAGCCGGTAGATTGCTAGCTCATTTCTGCCTCGTTGCTTGTACCTTGGGGACGCGATAGACGCTCACGTGACTTATGTGGTCAGTTATTGAACACTGCTGAAGCGGTACGCACCAGTTTTGTGTTCAAAATGACTTGATACACTGGTAACTCGGGTTGATCGTGCCTGAAATCACCTGTTCGCCAAGCTTCGCAATTGGTATGCAGACGTTTCATCATCAAACGTGGTGGCTTCCTCAGTGCGCTGCTTCGTCAAATGTAATCCGCTGACTTGGTCGTCGATTTGTGATCGATCAGCAAGTGACTTTTGAATTGACCTCCTCGATCTGTGCCCCGTGACCTTCACCGGTCTGCCTAACTTTGATAGACACGAGCGATCCGTACGATGGTTTTGCTCGGACTGTTGCGGATGTATTGTTGATGTTTCGTTTAGCTGCCCACGACGGTTTTTAAGGTGTTTTACTTCTCTCCGTCTAAACGTTTGGTAAACTGGGTCAATCTCGATATGCATGTTTATTGAATGCTGCATCGAGTGCCATGTGGTAAATAAGAACCACCAAGGTAAGTGCTAAGATCGTTTGTCTAGATCACGGGTGTCCAAAGTTTGACACTCAGGCCAAATGCGACTCGAGTTAACATTTCAACTGTCCCGCGACCCCATCATGAAATAATAAATTCAGTTTTGAACTTTTTTCATAGATGTGTAATTTTTGTTTTTATCTTAATGTCAGACTGAATATGTCCCGACGTATTTTTACCTCACAAAATGTGGCCATCCTTGCAAAAAGTTTGGACACTCCTGGTCTAGATAGTCTGTGCATTTGGTGTCTAAGCTACGGCTATGACCTCATCATTATCAGTATACATGTAAGCTGGAGGTGTGAATACTTCAGTCGTGCCGCACTGTATATAAGATTAAAAATAGTAAGGAAACGCACCACTGGTGCGTCAGCTGATCCACCAATAACATATAAACATCATTCCGGAGAGTTAGCAGCCGGCTGTTGTGCCGCAAAAAATATTACGTGCTGCTTTAGGAATTAGATCGTGGTTCGATGGGGAGGAACAAAGAAACTACGCAAACGCCACTGAGGCTCCTAGCCATGTCAATAAGTGTACCCAGCCAATCATCATCATCATCAATACACATGAGCTGAGGGTGAGGAACACCCACCGATGCCAACTTCAAAGTGAGGGACCTCATTCCTCTTAACCAAGTCATCGCTTAGCCTCCCATCCTCTTTTTCCATCCACACTCAGTGCACGCAAACAACACACTACGCAGGAGTTGAGGTGCTGGCATACGCAACACGTGGTCCAGCCATTGGAGCCTGGTACGTGATATAATGGTGCTGAGTGGATCACTAGCTCTTCCTGAATCGAATACGCTGAACACGATCACTGCTCACGCGGTGCTCCCACCAGACATGAGCTAAGCTGCGAAGGCAGCGATGATCGAACGTGACGGGCCTCTTTATGTCTGTCGACCTGATGGGCCAGGTTTCACAACCGTGTAAGAGGGTTGAACGGGCGGCTGCATTATAAACTCTACTCTTCAGGGCGAGAGTGACGGA